TGGCATTTTAATAGCTGCACTTTTTTATCATCAAAGCAAGCAAGAGTATTGTAAATAGCTGAAGCATTTCAACAAAATGGTTCAATTGTTAGTATGTTTACGATTAATATTATTATCGTATTATAGTTGACAAATAGTTGTATTTATTCAATATTGTGACGTGATGGTGGGTGCACCTAGAGTATGTAAGGTCATAAAACAGGTAGGCTTTTTTTGGTGGGCCCAAATTAATTAAAAATTGTGTAATTAAACAAAAAAGAAGTAACAATATTTCAAATCATTTTTTTACACATTGCCTTTGATAATTGGTTTGGGTCGTATTTTTTTTAATAAAAATATGTACTAATTACTAATTTGATTTAATTAATTGTATATGCATATTTATATGGTTTAGGAGTCTGGTTTTTAGATAACATTCCATTGAAATTTTTTGGAAAAGTAATGATAATTTATTGATTGATAATTTATTGATTGGTAATTTTTTTGTGTTGTGAACAGTGCTTTCAAGTAAGGATAATTGATTGTGATTTTTTGTTTGTTACATAGTATTTTCAGGTACGGATAATTACTATTATATATATATATATACTTAAATGGATACCTTATAGCCTATTTTTTGGGTTTTTTTTTTCCCTGAGAAGTCTGTTGTGGGGCCTCTTGTGGGAATCAAGTAAATGTGTAAAATAATATCTTAGACTTATTTGTCTGGATGGAAACCTCAGTGTAATGGCAGTTATATAAGTCCATGGCCATAACATGTAGATTTCTTGTGTTGCCTTATCCTAGAGGCTTCTTTTTGGAAGCAAGTACATAACTCAGATACTATCATGAATTATTCCTTTTTTTTTATTAAGTGATGAAACATAAGTCCAGTCAAGTTGAACATTTTTATGTAAATCCAAGTAAGAATGTTTGCAAATTCAGCTTAGAGACGATACGTTCAAACGAATCAAAACTGACAAAAATTTAGTGGGTTAAGTTTAACTATTTTTCGATACAAACTTAGAATAATACGGTTTGATAAAATGAATAATAAGTCGGACAGTTTATTATCAAATTAGGGGTAATTCGTGCTTAAATGTACGGTATAACGTAAGTAAGAAGTGATGAATTTAGGAGATAAAATTCAATGTGAATGACTTTAAGAGAGATGTTAGTGGTCATTAGATGAGTCTTTTTTAGACCGTTAGATGAGCTTATTGAAGTCTGTTTTTTTTTTTTATATTATAGATACGCATAACCTGAATTTGATAGGATAAGCATATTTAATTAGTATTATATGAATAAAATGACTGATTTTTATTACATATTTAAATTAGTTATCCAAAATGAGAATTGTATTTCTATTTTTGCTATTATATAGACTTAAATAGATTTTAAGCCTATGAAAAAATATGAGTTGTGGTTTATTTCAGAGATAATACAATCAGTGTATTAGATTTTTAATTTAAGCAATATAGGGATCAACTCGAACACATCATTGTAAAAATTAAGTGATTAGACTAGTATCAAAACAGTTGACATAATTAATTAAATGAGTTAAATTAAAATTAAATAATACTCGATATGAATATAAAAGAATATGATTCAAACATGAGTTAAGATGCTGAATTTTCACAACTAGTAATTGAATTTATAATTTATAAAAACTAAGAAAAATATATATATTCGACGGCCTTATATTATCGGAAAATGTAGATTGACCGATTAGTCTTGGTCTTTATGACTTCATCCCATTCCCTCTTCTCACGGTTGACTTAGTGTATTTGACGTCATCCCATTCCCCATTAGTCTTAGCCTTAGTGTTTATGACTTCATCCCATTCCCCATTAGTCTTGGCCTTAGTGTTTATGACTTCATCCCATTCCCTCTTCTGACGGTTGACCCATTAGTCTTAGTGTTTATGACTTCATCCCATTCCCTCTTCTGACGGTTGACCCATTAGTCTTAGTCTTTTTGACTTCATCCCATTCCCACTTCTCACGGTTGCCCATTAGTCTTAGCCTTTATGACGTCATCCCATTCCCACTTCTCACGGCATTAGTAAGTCAGAAAGAGATAAAATTGTACTTTTCAAATTTATTTATTAGACTGTTATGCTTTAATTGATGTATTAAAATTTTATATATTGAATATTTAGTGGAAATTAATGGCTTTTATAGATCTAACCATCTAATTTGTTATATAAAATTTGGTAAATGATGTGGTAACTATAGCATTGTTAGCTAGTAAGTTTTCCTTGATTCCAACTTTTTTATGAGTAAATATTAGGTGTAATTGTCTAATGATAACATAACAAATGGACAAGTGAATTTAAATTTTTAAATATTGGACGATTATTATTTTACATAGAAATATGATTATTTAAAGTAGTGAGGTCCTGAATTAGCATTGAAGTATTGTAGCACCTAAAAATACTGTGTAACCATTATGTCTAATATTTACTCGTACTCGGCAAATGATATAATCTAATCTGATCAGATCAACGTTTTGGCCATTCAAAGTATTAAATTTTCAAGGCAGAAGAAACCTTCTCTCACTTCTTTAATGGCTCCATGGTCTCTTATTGATCTCATGATATTCCTCCTTATATCCATAAAACTCTTAGCCTTGGCTCAAGATGAAAAGCAGTTCATCTACCATGACTTCCGTGGAGCTAAACTGTACCTTGATGGTCTCGCTGAGATCCTTCCCAATGGCCTATTGCAGATAACCAACACTTCAAAGCAAGATACTGGCCATGCTTTCCACCAAATTCCTGTGAAATTTAACACGCCTTCCTCATCTAGGTCGGCTCAGTCTCTTTCATTTTCCACCTATTTCATCTTCGCCATTGTTCCTAAACTGGGATATCCTCCCGGCCATGGATTTGCCTTCACCATCTCACCATCTCTGAGCTTCAGCCAGCGAGGCATGTCTGACCAGTTTCTGGGAGTTTTCAATTCTTCGAACAACGGCCTTACCTCCAACCATGTACTTGCAATTGAGTTTGATACTAGTATGAGCCCTGATATGAAAGATATAGACAACAATCATGTCGGAATTGATGTGAACGGTCTAATATCTGTCGTATCGGCTCCGGCGTCATATTTTTCCAATACAGAAGGGATCAACAAGAGCTTGGATCTTACAAGTAAAACCCCAACGCAGGTTTGGATAGATTATGATGGAGTGAAAAAGATTATCATCGTTACATTAGCTCCCATCAGAATCGAGAAACCAAATCTACCTCTCTTGTCGGCTTGCATTGATCTCTCTCCAGTTTTCTTAGACTCTATGTATGTTGGTTTCTCTTCATCTACAGGATCAATTACAGGTCCGATAAGCAACTACGACATTCTGGGGTGGAGCTTCAACAAAACTGGGCCAGCACAGAGCCTAGACCTATCAAAACTTCCTTCTGTTCCCTGGCCCAGAAAATCCAAACGAAAACTACATCAAGATGTTGCAATCTCGGTCTCCACAGTACTGGTTGTGCTGATCATCACTATGGCTGGAATTGCTTACATACAAAGGAGAAGAAAGTATGCAGAAATACTCGAGGATTGGGAATTGGAATATGGGCCTCATAGGTTCTCCTACAAGGATCTCTACAAAGCAACCGATGGCTTCAACCACAAAGAGATTCTTGGAGTAGGAGGTTTTGGACAGGTTTACAGAGGGGTACTTCCTTCTTCCAATGCCCAAGTCGCAGTGAAGAGAGTCTCCCATGACTCAACACAAGGGATGAAGGAATTTGTGGCTGAAATTGCTAGCATGGGTAGGCTAAGACATAGGAACTTGGTGGCCCTCCTAGGCTATTGCCGGAGAAAGGGAGAGCTTCTGTTGGTCTATGATTATATGCCCCATGGAAGTCTAGACAAGTTTTTACACAACAACGAGAATCCAAGCCTTAATTGGGCACAACGTTATCGAATCATTAGAGGGGTAGCATCAGGCCTTCTGTATCTACATGAAGAGTGGGAAAAAGTTGTTCTTCACAGAGATGTCAAGGCAAGTAATGTCCTTGTGGATGCCCATTTTAATGGACATCTCGGAGACTTTGGGTTTGCTAGATTGTATGATCATGGTGAAAATCCTAAAACAACCCAAGTGGTTGGAACTTTTGGATATATAGCACCAGAGCTTGCTAGAACTGGCAAGGCAACTACTAGCACAGATGTCTTTGCTTTCGGGGCATTTATGCTCGAGGTAGCTTGCGGACAAAGACCTCTAAAGGTACAGGGATTGAATCATGATATGATTTTGGTTCAGTGGGTTATGGAGAAATGCAAAGAAGGAGCAATTTTTGAGGCAACTGATCCGAGATTGGGAGGTGATTTTGTGGTAGAGGAAATGGAGTTGGTTTTGAAGCTAGGTCTGCTTTGCTCGCACTATAATCCGGTGTCTAGGCCTAGCATGAGGCAAGTGATACAGTATTTGGATGGGGAATTTATCTTGCCCGAAGTATTTATGGATATTTCAGGAGTTCGCATGGCTGCATTGTTTGGGAGTGAAGTTTCAAATGAATTTGTAATGACATTCCCTTCATCATCCACGGGGAGTGTTTGTGCTAATGCCATGTCTGGTATTGAGTCACTTCTTGGCGTGAGGCGTTAAGAGTGAAATACGTTTGATGGCTAAAATATTTTGGATCATAGGATGAATTGTATTTTGATAAATAATTCCATATATTTCAGTATCAACTCTTGATGTTTTATGGTTGTTTTTGTTGAAACATTCTAGCTAGTTTAAAATTATGTTAATTTGGAATTGTTTCCATATTATTCTTCTAATGCTATGATATTGATCCTTGAAGGGGTTTTCAATTTTTCCCCTTAATTGTATTTTAGCTTGTTTTATCCGTCAACAATAGATTTCAGTTTATTTATAAAAAATATATAAATTGTAGATACTTAAGGTATGTTCATAATTTTGCAAAAGCCTTATTTAGCGAGTTTTGACATGTTTTTCTCATTCCATCAAATGTTTATGGCTTTTTAATCAACTAAAAAAGACAAATGGATACAGATCGAAATGCTCATTCACTCTTCACTCCAAAACTCGAGGAAGAAGGGGATCGAAAAGAAGACAGGGAGGTCTTGGAAAGCTATGTCTTTCACACCAATAAACCCTCCTCCAGTGCAAAGTATCATCTTTCCTCCGACTAATATTGTGTTGGTCAATACTTCATTTAGATTATGTTCTAAATTTGAGTAATACTATTTGAACATAAAAATTTGACATAATTTGCTGACATAATAATAGAATTTACAATAAATCCAAATTTTACAATAAATTAAGTCAATATATTATGTCCGTAAATTAGGTCCCAACAATATTATTCTATAAATTTTGTCATATCATGTCAGTCTTTTGTTTCTTATTTCTCTCCTCTCAAAATAATGAGGTTCAAATATTAAATCCCACCTTTAATTTTAAATTTTAAATATCTACCATAAATAAGTGGAGTAGAATACTCCAATCTCATTTTTTATTTTTTCTCTCTTATTTTTGTCTCCAATTTTATAGCTTCTTCAGTTGTTCTAATCTCCCTCTACTTCAATCTGAGGAGGCCTCTTTGCCCTCTATCTCTCTCAATGGCATCTATAGATGTGGAATATAGATGCTTTGTTGGTGGGTTGGCCTGGGCCACCACCAAGCAGTCCTTTGAACAAGCATTTGATGATCTATTCAAAGATCATTAATGATTGCGATACTAGAAGGTCAAGGAGATTTAGGTCTGTGACTTTCAAGGATAAGCAGTCGGTGAGGGACGCGATCGAGAGTATGAACGACCAAGATCTTGACGGTGATGGTGGCAGTGGCAGTAACAGTGGCAGTGGCGGTGGCGACGAGATCAGTCCTGTGGAGGCGGTGGTTGATATAGCGGTAGCGATGACCGTAGATATGGTGGTGGTGACCTTAGTTTTGGGTTAAGTGGTTATATCACTCGAAACTTCAAGACACATGTCTTCACAATAATAGGACAAGTGGCAATAATTATTAGTTGATATGGAAATGGCGCCTGACAGCGTCAACTGGACTGGTATAGNGCTGACATAATAATAGAATTTACAATAAATCCAAATTTTACAATAAATTAAGTCAATATATTATGTCCGTAAATTAGGTCCCAACAATATTATTCTATAAATTTTGTCATATCATGTCAGTCTTTTGTTTCTTATTTCTCTCCTCTCAAAATAATGAGGTTCAAATATTAAATCCCACCTTTAATTTTAAATTTTAAATATCTACCATAAATAAGTGGAGTAGAATACTCCAATCTCATTTTTTATTTTTTCTCTCTTATTTTTGTCTCCAATTTTATAGCTTCTTCAGTTGTTCTAATCTCCCTCTACTTCAATCTGAGGAGGCCTCTTTGCCCTCTATCTCTCTCAATGGCATCTATAGATGTGGAATATAGATGCTTTGTTGGTGGGTTGGCCTGGGCCACCACCAAGCAGTCCTTTGAACAAGCATTTGATGATCTATTCAAAGATCATTAATGATTGCGATACTAGAAGGTCAAGGAGATTTAGGTCTGTGACTTTCAAGGATAAGCAGTCGGTGAGGNAACTCTAGAATTAGATCTGAATAATCTACTCATTTTTAAAATCTAAATTGTTTCTTATTTTAAATTCATTTGTAAGAAGAACACTATACCCAACCTTAGTCCAGNAGTCGGTGAGGGACGCGATCGAGAGTATGAACGACCAAGATCTTGACGGTGATGGTGGCAGTGGCAGTAACAGTGGCAGTGGCGGTGGCGACGAGATCAGTCCTGTGGAGGCGGTGGTTGATATAGCGGTAGCGATGACCGTAGATATGGTGGTGGTGACCTTAGTTTTGGGTTAAGTGGTTATATCACTCGAAACTTCAAGACACATGTNGAAGTTTCAAATGAATTTGTAATGACATTCCCTTCATCATCCACGGGGAGTGTTTGTGCTAATGCCATGTCTGGTACTGAGTCACTTCTTGGCGTGAGGCGTTAAGAGTGAAATACGTTTGATGGCTAAAATATTTTGGATCAGAGGATGAATTGTATTTTGATAAATAATTCCATATATTTCAGTATCAACTCTTGATGNTAGTTTTGGGTTAAGTGGTTATATCACTCGAAACTTCAAGACACATGTCTTCACAATAATAGGACAAGTGGCAATAATTATTAGTTGATATGGAAATGGCGCCTGACAGCGTCAACTGGACTGGTATAGATAATAATGTCATGCGTGACGCCTAAGGCGGGAGGCCCCTGGGAGTGACGTCCTCAAGCACAATGCTACATCAGAGCGAGATGCATCTCCATCACATTGGAAATGATAAAATAGACCTTTCACCAAGGTTTGACAGAAGTGTAATCGCAGAACTGTGGGGGTAACCTCGGTGAGACTTGCCTCCCTCGCTGCGGGAATGGTATCCTCAACCTATTGAATGTCGTTGCTCAACTAGCCCACTGGACTAAAAGGTGTCTCCACCTAGGGACAGGGGAGTGTGGCCCCCCTCAAGGAAGAATTGACCAATAGAGGCCGATGAACAGGATTGTCAACCTCAGCCTAGAGCAGGGTCTCGAAAGTTTAGTCTGTTCGAGTAGGCCTCCTAATGTATGGCTCACTGCCCATTGGGATATGCTTGACAGCGATCTGAAGAGTCTCCTAAGGTAATTGGGGTTATTGGTCCAAATCAGCATATGAGATGATGGGACATGTGGATTGGAGGCTGAAGGACCACAACTATGTGAGTTTCCTCTATTGGGCACCTCGACAAAGGTCTCAAGGAAGGGTCTAGAAAGGGAAAGAATGACCCCCGGGTAGGGGCGCACTAGGGGCATCGTAGACATGGCCCCCTCGAGGTCATGGTCCCACAGTGACCAGTCGTGGTCATGGACCTTGGGAGCCCGCTCTCACCTTGGCTGTTGCACCTTCCTCAAGGCCACGTCTAGGTTGTGTTTGGGGAAACATCACATATGCCTAGTTAATGTTAGGACGCATGGCTCCTATTAACTGTCATTGGTATCGTCGTGATCGAGGCAGTTGTAAGTTCGCTTAGGTGATAAGGGGTCGCGGCGGGCAACTCTTTGGGCAACCCGACATGCCTGGGCACTGTGCTATAAATGCCACATTACTTGCCCACTGTGGAGGATGATTTTCTAGCTGGTAAGAGCATTTTTCACCTACCCTCTGCCCAACTAGTTCATGCCTTCGTTAGCAGGCTGCTTGAGTTCCTTCCATCTCATCTACTTATCCTACTCACCCTCTTTGATTACCCTTGGTATAGACACGTGTGTCAACCTCTTTTAACCCCCCACCTACATTCTTTTAGCGATTCCACTAGGGAGGTGACACTCCGAATGGTATCTTCGCTTTCTGATGACAATGCCATTTTGAGTTGGACACGTATTATCTTCATTATGTTACCTTCCAGAATACATGACCAAAGGTCATGATTCTTTTTCTTTACTTCTAGTCAACAAAAAAAGGGGGGAACTAGAGAAAGGAACTGTGTGTTATGCGAAAATGTTCAAATATGTTCTTGTGCTAGGCTCTGGTCANTAGCGAGTTTTGACATGTTTTTCTCATTCCATCAAATGTTTATGGCTTTTTAATCAACTAAAAAAGACAAATGGATACAGATCGAAATGCTCATTCACTCTTCACTCCAAAACTCGAGGAAGAAGGGGATCGAAAAGAAGACAGGGAGGTCTTGGAAAGCTATGTCTTTCACACCAATAAACCCTCCTCCAGTGCAAAGTATCATCTTTCCTCCGACTAATATTGTGTTGGTCAATACTTCATTTAGATTATGTTCTAAATTTGAGTAATACTATTTGAACATAAAAATTTGACATAATTTGTTGACATAATAATAGAATTTACAATAAATCCAAATTTTACAATAAATTAAGTCAATAAATTATGTCCGTAAATTAGGTCCCAACAATATTATTCTATAAATTTTGTCATATCATGTCGGTCTTTTGTTTCTTATTTCTCTCCTCTCAAAATAATGAGGTTCAAATATTAAATCCCACCTTTAATTTTAAATTTTAAATATCTACCATAAATAAGTGGAGTAGAATACTCCAATCTCATTTTTTATTTTTTCTCTCTTATTTTTGTCTCCAATTTTATAGCTTCTTTAGTTGTTCTAATCTCCCTCTACTTCAATCTGAGGAGGCCTCTTTGCCCTCTATCTCTCTCAATGGCATCTACAGATGTGGAATACAGATGCTTTGTTGGTGGGTTGGCCTACGCCACCATCGAGCAGTCCTTTGAACAAGCATTTGATGATCTATTCAAAGATCATTAATGATTGCGATACTAGAAGGTCAAGGAGATTTAGGTCTGTGACTTTCAAGGATAAGCAATCGGTGAGGGACGCGATCGAGAGTATGAACGACCAAGATCTTGACGGTGATGGTGGCAGTGGCAGTAACAGTGGCAGTTGCGGTGGCGACGAGATCAGTCCTGTGGAGGCGGTGGTTGATATAGCGGTAGCGATGACCGTAGATATGGTGGTGGTGACCTTGGTTTTGGGTTAAGTGGTTATATCACTCGAAACTTCAAGACACACGTCTTCACAATAATAGGACAAGTGGCAATAATTATTAGTTGATATGGAAATGGCGCCTGACAACGTCAACTGGACTGGTGTAGATAATAATGTCATGCATGATGCCTAAGGCGGGACGCCCCTAGGAGTGACGTCCTCAAGCACAATACTACATCAAAGCGAGATGCATCTCCATCACATTGGAAATGATAAAATAGACCTTTCACCAAGGTTGGACAGAAGTGTAATCGCAGAACTGTGGGGGTAACCTTGGTGAGACTTGCCTCCCTCGCTGCGAGAATGGTATCCTCAACCTATTGAATGTCGTTGCTAAACTAGCCCACTGGACTAAAAGGTGTCTCCACCTAGGGACAGGGGAGTGTGGCCCCCCTCAAGGAAGAATTGACCAATAGAGGCCGATGAACAGGATTGTCAACCTCAGCCTAGAGCAGGGTTTCGAAAGTTTAGTCTGTTCGAGCAGGCCTCCTAATGTATGGCTCACTGCCCATTGGGATATGCTTGACAACGATCTGAAGAGACTCCTAAGGTAACTGGGGTTATTGGTCCAAATCAGCATATGAGATGATGGGATATGTGGATTGGAGGCTGAAGGACCACAACTATATGAGTTTCCTCTATTGGGCACCTCGACAAAGGTCTCAAGGAAGGGTCTAGAAAGGGAAAGAAGGACCCCCGGGTAGGGGCGCACTAGGGGCATCGTAGACATGGCCCCCTCGAGGTCATGGTCCCACAGTGACCAGTCGTGGTCATGGACCTTGGGAGCCCGCTCTCACCTTGGCTGTTGCACCTTCCTCAAGGCCACGTCTAGGTTGTGTTTGGGGAAACATCACATATGCCTAGTTAATGTTAGGACGCATGGCTCCTATTAACTGTCATTGGTATCGTCGTGATCGAGGCAGTTGTAAGTTCGCTTAGGTGATAAGGGGTCGCGGCGGGCAACTCTTTGGGCAACCCGACATGCCTGGGCACTGTGCTATAAATGCCACATTACTTGCCCACTGTGGAGGATGATTTTCTAGCTGGTAAGAGCATTTTTCACCTACCCTCTGCCCAACTAGTTCATGCCTTCGTTAGCAGGCTGCTTGAGTTCCTTCCATCTCATCTACTTATCCTACTCACCCTCTTTGATTTCCCTTGGTATAGACACGTGTGTCAACCTCTTTTAACCCCCCACCTACATTCTTTTAGCGATTCCACTAGGGAGGTGACACTCCGAATGGTATCTTCGCTTTCTGATGACAATGCCATTTTGAGTTGGACACGTATTATCTTCATTATGTTACCTTCCAGAATACATGACCAAAGGTCATGATTCTTTTTCTTTACTTCTAGTCAACAAAAAAAGGGGGGAACTAGAG